CCCCAAAACCCCAAAACCCCAAAACCCCAAAACCCCTTTTAAACCCAGAGATATGGAAAACATTAATATTATTAAATCCTAGTCTGGAATGAACACCAACTATGTAAAAGGATGCCTCTTCATGCTGTTTGTCATTCTCAGCTTTGTAGGTACCTCATTGATAATAAAACTATCTTTCTCTTCAAATGATGAAGAGGAAGCTGCAAGTTTTAACAAGCCATTATTCACTTCTTACACCGCATGTGCTTCATTTTCGCTCTACTCGATCAGGATCATTTACGAATTCATTTTTAGAAGTAAATGTAGATGGAAAGATATGAGCAGGAGAGAGATGACCAAAGTTGAGCTCAAAACAGCCCTACTGTGCTTTCCCATCTTCTTTGGCTCTATAACTTTATACTACTTCAGTCTATCGTTGACGACGTATAGCTCCACGATGATCCTGGGAAACATCTCTTCAGTATTTGTGTTTATTTTTGCAATTCTCATTCTTGGCCATGCCTTCTGATTCATTAAGTGTGGTGCAACAATTACTTGAGTTGTTGGAGTACTCATAATTGCATTATCAGATAAAGAAGACTTTCAAGCAGCAAATCCAATCCTTGGAGACCTGTTAGCTGTATGCAGTTCTCTGACGCTTGGACTTTATTCTACGCTACTGGCGAAGTTAGTCCCTCCAAAGATTGAGAATGAAGTGTCATTTTCAAATATCTTAGCATTTATTGGTCTGTTATGTCTGTTAACATTATGGCCACTATTGATAATCTTCCATTTCTCCGGACTAGAGCCATTTGAGCTACCTAAAGGGATTACAATAGCCTACCTAATTATTAATATTATCTTTGGAACTCTTCTTTTTGACTATTGATGGGGAAGAGCGATTCTGTTGATTGGTCCGCTTGTGTCAAACACATCAGTCCTCCTGGTGGTTCCACTAAGTATCATAATAGACAATTTATTCATAAAATCTAGCTTCAGCTGGCAGTATTACCTCGGAACCATATTTATAGTTGTAGGATTCCTTATTAGTGCTTACATGAATTATCTTGATTCACAAAATATACAGGATGAAGATTCACATGACTCCTTAACTTCTCCATTGAATAGGAAGCACACTGGGAAGTTTGGGCAGAGTGATGAAATAGAATCTGGGTCTGACAACTCAGCTCACTCCAGTGACTAAGATCTTCAAGATTCAAATAAAAGAGATACGAGATTTAGCTAATTTTTATATTAAACAAACTGTTCGTCCAATGACCGTCGCCTGGCTTTATTGCTTGGATATAACAAAAATTGTAGCCAGATTTATCAATCTTAGCACCCTATTTTGGGGTTTTGGGGTTTTGGGGTTTTGGGGTTTTGGGG